GGAGGATTGGAGGTGGGGGGCAGGGAGTGGGCAAAACTCTTCCCAGATCTGACATTTGGTCTCAGTATTATTTAGTTTTTCCTGGAGTCTGGGACCTGGAATCAGAAGGTCAGTGTCATAAACCTATGTAAAGATGCTTCCCATGGCTTTGCACTAAGCAAAGCAATTCAGTTACACTCTCAAGAGGAGTAGCCAGGACAGAGTTTTCTCCCCCATAAAATTTTAGAGAGGGAGCCACTGTGGCTCCAGGTCAGTGCTCTGAAAACTGGCCCAGGGCTTTACAACTAATTGGACTTTACTATGGCTATGTCTTTAGTAATCAAGAAGTCTCCAAAATGTTCAAAAGGTGATAAACTAGAAAAAATATCCTTAAGGATGTAAAATGACTGCGTGGTTTATAAAACAATACAATTTGACAAATATTTATTTTAAAATACAAAATCAATCCAGACATGTCCTTAGACAAATTGATTTATTTTTAATCTTTCAAATGCCAAAATGATCAAGTGGCAAAAGAAAAGAAAGAAGGAAAGAAAGAAGGAAGAAAGAAAGAAAGAAAGAAAGAAAGAAAGAAAGAAAGAAAGAAAGAAAGAAAGAAAGAAGAAAGCAGTAGACCACTGAATAGATGAAAACCTTCAAAAAGGACCCTTTTTGAGGCTTTGATCATTAAAAGACACCTGCTCTCTGTTGCTGTAAGCTAAACTATTAATATTATTGGCTGACGTTTACTGAGAATTTGCAACATGCAGGGAACTTAAGTTACATGGATTGTCACACTTAATCCACAAAATAACTTTATGAGATAGGTGCGATTATCTCCCGTTTTCAGATGAGGAGAACAAGGAGTAAAGCAGTTAAGTAATCTGACCCATATCACTTTTCCAGTAAAAAGTAGGGCTGGGATATTAACTTGGAAGGAGTCTTAACTCCAAAGTCTATGTGATCAAACCACAATGCTGTACTGCTCCCGGAGGAGCTGGGAATGGAGAATGTAGCCAGGCATTAACCCTCTCTACCACCATTCAATTCTGGGGATAAGCAGGGCCACCATGTACAGCTCTTCAGGTTGTGCACTGTTAAAGCATGCCACAGCTAAGGGGATGCATTTCCATTGTAGATGTCTTCGAACTCATATGAGAGGTTTCAGGTGTTTGTGAAGATCTGGACCTTTTAACCAAGTCCTGGTATAGTGACACACACCACTGTGCACTCAGAAACTGGCACACACACGAGACCACCTTGTCCCAGCCACACTCCTGGCAGCCCACGGTATTGTTTCTTTTCCTCTCTTATTGCTTTCAGTGACACAGTTCCTACCCACAATCTGTCTTCAGACCTGGAAGGGAGAATGCATAGACAATACGTGTTGCTATCTATGGTTATTGTGCAACAATATATCAACTGCCTTGATTTTTCTAAAGAAGAAGTGCCCTTTCTAATTGGCCCAAGGATGCTACAGTGTCCATCAGGGGCCTGGTGAGCATCCTTCACTAGAGTCCAAAGTACCTCCACCCCTTGGAGCTCCTTAGTTGTCATTCTGATGTCAGTTTAAAACCAACAGAGGTAGGCATTACATCTTTTACAAGGAAAAGAACCCACTCATGACATTTTTTCCAAAGCAAAATGTTGGGGTATTTTTAAGCATGTTGTTGTCCTTCGGGATGAGCCATGCTGGTCAATGCTCTCTTTCCATGGAAATCATCTCATTTCCTGTATTGTGCTTCGTCTGGAGCATGAATTGGGGACTACCAGACGTGCAGTTGACCTGGAGTCCATGACCCAAGCTGGCTCTCCTGGGAGCCGATGGGGCCAGGCCAGCAGAAGGCACCAGCTGCCCAGCCAGACTACTGGGGAATTCCTCTCCTGAATTTTCTCCCCTCCCCAGATTGCTGCATCACTTATCCTGAAGGGGCCAGCTAAACTGGGGCATCCTGAAAAATCTGGGGCCCTGGACTGGAGGGGAAATGAGAGATGGAAGGATGTGGATCCTTGACGTCACTGTCACCACCCCTAGAAAAGTTCTGCAAGAGTAAGTGACAGTGAGGACCACAAGGAACCAGGACCGGCTCCTTCCTAGAACTAGCAGGCAGGGCGCAGTGACCTGCTGCAGGTGCGGAGAGCTGAGGTGCAGAGCTCCATCTTGCACTTGGAGCTTCTTAGAGCTCCAACTGTTTCCAGCACTCCAGGGCTGCTTCTCAGACTCAAGGTTAAAGAAGAGAAGCTAGAAGGTGTTCAAACACCAGCATCTCAAAAAGAGAGAGAGTAAAAAGAAAAGTCCGGGTGGATTTTCTCTCTGGACTGAGATGGCTGGAGAAGCCTCAGCTAAGCCAGGAGGACAGGTGAGACTCGGCTTTCTCCCCAGAGGCTGGGGTCTTGTCTCTCCCTCGGGGGGAGGGGGGGTGGTGGTGACTTGCAGCAGCAACTCTCAAGTGTGCATTCAGGGGCCTTTCCTGGAGCAGGCTGGGCTCATGCCCAGGAGGCCAGGGAAAGACCATGGGCTTCAGCCCACAGCATCTCCCTCCTGCCTCCCCACTCTCCTGCTCACCCTGACTCTCCCTCCCACCAGAGTGCATGATTCCTTTGAGGCCCTGAGTCATGTGGAACCAACAAATGTCAGAAAGAGAAGGAGACATGGAGATCACACAAAGTTCTTCTGCTGTAGTGGAGACAAGGATGCATTTGCTCTAGGTCGTTCTATCAGCCATGGGCAAAGCGAAGGCTCCAGAGTCCTGGTTCCATGCACTTCCCTCTATATCACATGGGCTCTTTTGCTTTCTTGTCTGCTGCCCCAGGGGTAGGGAATAGGAGGGAAGTGGGGGGGGGGCAGTAGGGATTTGGGGAGTCATACTCCCGCCTGTGCTGGAGATGAGGTAGATGCCCTTCCCAGCAGGACAGAGGGATGAGAGCCGCCCCCCCACGTGGCCCTCATACCCTAAAGTGCTGTGCATTATTACAGAGGCCTGTAGCCCCAGGCTGCTGAGTTGGGGCTCTCTGTATCCTGGAGAAAGGTTTTCTGAAGGTCACTGGCAGGGTGGATGGCTTGGAGACATTTCCTCGAATATTGTCCTTTCAGCCTCCAGTCAAGGCTGATAACTCCCCGGAGACCTTTTATCTCACACTCTGAGTTTCCTCATTGCCCCTCAGGGGCGAGGTGGCTTTTGCTCCCAAGCCTAGAGATTGCTGCGCAGGTGGACTTCAGAGGAACTGGGTGGTGTGGTGCGGAGACTTTGACCTCAACATGTGCTGTGTCAGTACCTAGTGTGTTAGAAAAACAAGCCTCGAGGAACCTGGCTTGGTGGACATTAATCAAACAACAGATTAGGTGCAGGCACACCTGGGAGAGCCTCCAGGTGAAGGCAGGCAGCCAGAAGCTCTGGACGGTGGGGAGGGCCTAGGCTGCCATGGTGGTGCCCAAGGCAGGGGCATCGCTAAGAGGGCACGAAGGAGGCGCGAGGAGCCCGAGGACCCTTCCAACTTCCTCCGCTCTCGGGGCTCTACCTGGATAGAGCAGGCCAAGGCTTTAGGGGAGACGGCTGGGCGGAGCCAAGCTGAGGTGACAGTTTGCAGCTGCGGCGCCAACCCATGGGTTCCACCATTCTCCCGTCCTCTGTTCTCTTGCTTTGCCCTTCTTTCCTCTCCAGCTTCTCCTTGCCTCCCCCACTCCCTTTCCTCCTTTAGCCTATGTCCCAGCCTGGCCACTGGCCTTGTGTGACTTAGTCTCGTTGGGCAAGGGTGGGTGGTAAGGGTCTCCTGCGCTTGGGCCAGACCATTGATGGTCTGCACCTGTTCTCAACATTAGTGAGGTAGGGATTAGAGGGGGAAGGAGACTATGATCGCTAACTTAATTTGCTCTTTCTCCTTTCTTTCTTTCTTTCTTTCTTTCTTTCTTTCTTTCTTTCTTTCTTTCTTTCTTTCTTTCTTTCTTCTTTCTTTCTTTCTTTTTAAATGTATAGGTCCTAAGAACTGCAGGCAGTAGATAGATTTAAAGCACAGATTTTGAATCAACCCAAAAGCATCCATGAAAACCCTAGGGGGAATACAAATGAAGTATAATGTACAATCTCTCTTTATAATTAGCAAGCAGTAAAAGGCTACGGAGTGGGGATCAGTATGGTGTCTCTTCCGAGAGTGGTCCATTCTTGCTCCTGCCCCATGCTACATCCGGCCCCAGAGCCTGGGGGTAGAGTGATGACACACAGAGTCCCACCAGGCCAGCAGGAGAGACCAGAGTAAGGGGAGAGCAGTGTGGACTGGAGGACAGGGAGGGCTTTCTAGAAGTTGTGGAGAAGAAAGAGAACAGGGCCCTTGTGCCGACAATGGCACGTCCTGAGAGCTAATTTCTAAGTCCTTGTTACCACCCGGAGGCACCCCACCAGCAGAACAGAAAGCTTCTCTTGAAGCAACCAGTTCTCTTTCTGCAAAAAAGAAGGGGTGAGAAGGCAAGGGAGAGGGAGCTACTCTGTACCCAGCACACTGCCAGCACTTCTAACACAATCTAATTTCAGTTGTGCAACAACTCCCTGACGCATGTGCTCATTCCCCCAGGGGAGGAAGCTGACCCCCCAAGGCCCCACAACTCCCGCCTACGTTTAAACTTCAAGGGTGTCATCTTTCCACGATGCAAGGCTCCCCCACGTTCAGAGCTCCGCGCTGGCAAGTGGGTGCGGGGGCTGGGATCCTACAGGGGGAGTTCCAACTCTTCTGAACACAGAAACCCCAAGGGTAGGGACCTTTTAGCCTTGGTGGTGGTGACCCGGGCCAAACACGCATGCTTAGGAGTGGGAGATGGAGTCACACTTCTCTCAGGGAGGGCAGTTCCTGTCCTACTGTTGGTGACATATAGTGCATCCAGCCACAACACTGAGCACACTGAGGTCCTCCAGTGAGAAAGGGCTCGCCCAGGTCTCCCTGCTGCTCACCCCAGCTTCTCACCTGCCCCCCTCAGGCTTCTTCAACTACAGTGTTTTTTGCAGGTCGCCAACCAGAGGGCAGGTTGGAAAATGCCCATCCTCCTCACGTTGTGCCTCTTGCAAGGTGAGTCCCAAACACGGCCCAGATTCGGAGCTTGCAAAACCAGCCCTGTGCCTTCCAGGCTGCGGAGATTCCTGGCGGGTGGCTCGGCGGCGGCGTTGAGGGCTGCCTCAGCACTTTGGGCAAACCCCTGGCTCTCTCTCCCGGGTCCCAGACCATGCAGTGCATCCAGGGAGGGGTCAGGTCTGGGTCCGGGGGGGAGTGAGACGCAAGAGCTCACAAGAGAGGGCCGATGCCTGCTTTGCTCATTTCTAGAATATTCACTGTTAGGATATTCCCAATGTTTCTGCTCTCTTCCCTTCAAGTTGATGACTGAAAGTCAGCTGCATTTGCAAGATGAGGGTTCCAGAGCATACACACAAGAGACAGAAGGGGCACTGCTCATTCCCACTCATTCCAAAAACACTCAGTGCCAGGCCCAGGACTAGGGACTTAAAGATGCAGACCTGCCCTGCTCAAAAGTGTTCAGAGTCTATGAGAAACTGGTGGGTAAATAAAATTTGCATCTCTGCATCTACTGATCTAGTCAGCACATATTTATGGAGGGCCGACCATGTGCCAGTCACAAGGGACAGCTGGATGGAGGACAGAGTCCTTGCCCCATAGGTTCTGGCAGGCTGGTATGATGAGGCTGGCCAGGTATAGATCAGGCTCAAATGACGCATGACCCTGTCTCCGTGCTGTGGTGTCTAGATTTTATTTTGATGGAAATGGGGAACCATTGAGAAATGTGGTGAATATGTGCCCAGAGTGTCTGGTACCTAGAACTTAGTCCTGAGTAAATACTGAACAAATAATCATTGAATGAATGAATGAATGAAAATGCTCTGGTAATACCAAAAAAAAAAAAAAAAAAGGATGAATAATTGTGTTTGGCTTATAAACAAATCAGAATTTTAATGAACCAAACGTTCATTCTGAGCAAGAACTCTCTGTCATATAATCACACCATCTCTTGATTTGAATCTCCCACTAGCCGCCTTTGAAAATTTTTCAGTAGAAGCAGATGTCCCCTGCCCCCAGATGAAAACTCAGGCAGGCCCATGATTTTTCTGCTAACATATTAATGTAGGTAAGAGTCCTGACTCAATTCCCTTAAGTCTCAAATGCTGAATTTGATACTTCTAAGGGTGCAGTTAAATATTTTGGACAGCATTTCAGTCTTCCTTCAAAGATATACCCCCTCAGCCCCCCAAGGCCTGCGGTCAGGAAAGCAGCACAGGGGATGGGGTGGCCCCCTCTCCACTGTCCCTCTCCTCCTTCTCCTCCCCATGTTGGCAGCTGACACGTGGGACTCCAGCAGGGTCACAGGAGCCAAAGGGAGGCGAGGCAGAAGGCAGGGAAGTCTTACTCGATGGCGGTGGAAAGGAGTTTAGAGCCGGCTCTTCCTCTTATGGCTACATTTGTGAGCTTAGAGGGTCCCCTGATGGTTCATCTCCTCCCTTTCCCCCAGGTTCTGCTTTGACCCCTCCACACAGAAGACCCCATCTCAGATGCCGGTGGAAGGGCCCTCTGCCCTCTGGGCCCCACCTCTGGGCCAAGGAAACACTCACTCCTTTCCCACCCCCATGCCGCATGGAGGAGACAGCCACAGCAGGTGCAACCATTCTCCCTCTGTCCTGCCTCAGACCTCTTGTGCTCTCTCAGACCAAGTCGGTCTCTAGTCCCTGGGCTCCCTCCATCCACAGAGCCCCCTCTCGCTCCTCCCCGGGGGAAGCCAGAGCCACAGACAACTGTAGGGAAGTGATGGCGGAATGAGTGCAGGGCCCCTGCCTCCACTGAAGGGCTGAGAATCTGCATCAGGGAGCCCAGGTGGGCACCACGTGGATCCTAAAATGCTAGCCCACAGATGACTAAGAAAACATTCTAAAGTATTTATAATACATACCAAATATATTCCCAATTATATATAATATAATATATATACACCTTAATTATATATAACTAAGAGCTACTGATCAGTAATTCACCAAATGAGTTCTCAAGGGCAAGTAAAACTTGGTATTAAGAAAAGAAAAAATGTTCATTGCAAGAGCTCATTAAGGATTCTTTTTTTTTTTAAAGATTTTATTTATTTATTTGAGACAGAGAGAATGAGAGACAGAGAGCATGAGAGGGAGGAGGGTCAGAGGGAGAAGCAGACTCCCTGCCGAGCAGGGAGCCCGATGCGGGACTCGATCCCGGGACTCCAGGATCATGACCTGAGCCGAAGGCAGTCACTTAACCAACTGAGCCACCCAGGCGCCCCCATTAAGGATTCTTAATCAGCCTTCTCCTGCGAGGTCAGACTGCCCCATCCTGCTGATGCACGGGGCAGAGCGCCTCTCGTATGTGCCATGTGTAGATTGCAAGGATTCATGAGAACTAGGGTATGAACACTTTATCAGGGCACCATCATTGTTGTCCCGGGATGGTCCTTGCTTGTAATTGTGAATATTCTTGACTGTTAAAGGTAAGTTGCCATTTAGCTTTACTAACAATGGCACAGTCGGTGGCATGTCACTTAATCAAACCTACGGTGAGTACTGCTACAGTCATATAGCACTGTGGCCTCGAGGCTTCCTATGATTAGACCTCAAGACATATGTAGCAGGCAGGCCGGCTTCATGAGCATGGGCCTTGGGCCGTCATAGGGCCCCATACTCAGAAGGTGCTTGGTTTAATGCTCCGCTATCACCGTAGTGAACAGGGGTTAATGACCTCCGAACAAGGGGTTCTGCATTTTCATTTGGCACTGGGCTTTGCGATTCTGGAGCCAGTTCTGGCAACAGGATATTTAAACTGAACCTTCTTGGGGCACCTGGGTGACTCAGTCTGTTGAGTGTCTGCCTTCGGCTCAGGTCGTGATCTTGGGGTCCTGGGATCGAGTCCTGCATCAGGCTCCCTGCTCAGCGAGAGCCTGTTTCTCCCTCTCCCTCTGCAGCTCCCCCTGCTTGTGCTCTCTCTCTCTCTCTTTCTCAAATAAATAAATAAAATCTTTAAAAACAAGCAGAAAAAACCTGCGCCTTCTTGGCTTCAGAGGTCCCTAAAGACATAGAACAAATTGATAGATGCCAGGCACCCACATCCTAAAGCAGGATGTTGAAGCTCCTGTGCGGGACTGTGGCGAGGACCACAGAGCGGATTGTGCCAGCCACAGCCCCCCATGTAGCCATCTGAAGAATCAGCAGAGGGTAGCCGAGCTCACCGGAAGAGCTGTTTTGGAGAGAGATGCCGGGGTGTTGGGCTCGCCTCCACCTGCGCCCTCACGTTCAGTCAAGTAAGAGAAGGAATTTGTAGAAAGCCACTCACCAAGCTGTCCCATGTCCCAGCTTCTCCTGATGGCAGGGCCAAAGTGTCCTTCCCGTGACCAAATGTGGGACCTACAGAAAGGAGCTGGCCTGGGGGCTCCACCACAAAGGCCACCCAGAAAGGACGGGACCACCCAAAGAAGGGCAGGTGGCCCGAAGTCATAGGTGTGGTGGTGTTGGAGGAGGGGCAAGAGGCCAGCAGGAGAGGCAGTTCTTACAAGGAAGAAACTGCAGCCCAAGGGCCGGTCTGGGAGGCAAAAGTTCTAGGAAGATCTCTGGCCATCCCTTGTGCCCGGAGAACATGGCGACCAGACCGTAGCTCTCCCCCTCACCTTCCCCTCTGTCCCGCCAGATGCAATCCCCGAGGGGCCTAAACAGCAGTTTTGAATAGAGGGAAGAGTAGAACAAAGAGACAAGAGTTGCAACCAGTCACTGGACTGGACTGGATATATCACTCTTGACCAGACTAGACTTTTTCCTCCCCATGTAAGACTATGAAAGTTACTGTACCTGAAGTTATGCCTGAGATTTATCAAGGAGCAGAGCCACTATGAGGAGATAGTGCAAGAACAAGCTTTGTTTCTGTTCACACCAGGTCAAGTTCATGTCACTCAGTAAACAGGCCGTAGATGCATTCAAGCATGATTTATGCCTACGGCCAAAGCAGACATATTTACGGTATTGTTCATCTGTGCTTGGATGGTGGTACGTATTTCTATTTCTACAGAAAAGTGTGGTGTGAACTGGTGTGAACATTTTTCAGCCACTGGTCTGGGGATGGACCCGCTGAGTGGTCCAGGATTCTTGTGTTTAGGGCACCCTTCCCTCTCAAGGGAAAGCACACTAATCTGTCCTCACCTCCTTACCATCTCTCTTGGGTTTTCCATCAGACAAACCATAGTCCTCCCATCAGATGTTGACCCAGGCTCTGGACGGACTTGTATGAGAACGTCCGGCACATGACAGGCGCTAGCTAAATAGCTGGTAAGAGTACTCTTGCATTTCTGTCTCTCAGATGGGGCCTTAGATACAGCTCCATTCCACAGTTGGGGGTACTCCTGATCCAGTGGGCTAAGCTCTGATGCATCCATATTGATTCTTCTTCGTTTCACTTTCATGAAGGCATTTTCTGACCTGTTCCCTAAATCTGGCAGAGTTTGGAGCTTGTAACTCCCCACACAGTGACCATACCCAACACTCCCTTTCCTTTGACTCAGCATTCCCCCCCACCTCCACCTACAGATGCAAATGCACTGAAGGGCCCGAGACTGGTGTCTGGGGAACCTGGGGGAGCTGTCACCATCCGGTGCCATTACACCCCCTTGTCCATCAACAAGCACGTGAGGAAGTATTGGTGCCGCCTAAGCCCCGTGACGTGGATCTGCCACACCATCGTGTCCACCACCAACTACACTCACCTCGGCTACCGTGGCCGCGTGGCCCTAGCAGACTTCCCACAGAGAGGCTTGTTTGTGGTGAGGCTGTCCCAGCTGTCCCCGGATGACATGGGGCGCTATCGCTGCGGCATTGGAAACAGAAACAGCATGTTCTTCTTCAGCATGAAGCTGACCGTCTCTGCAGGTACGGGCTGCTGGCTGCTGGGTCAAGTCTGGTGACGAGAATGCTGGGAAGGAGAAGGTGCAGGAGCCGAACCGACAGGTCCAGGAGGGCTTTAAGCCTGAGGGGGTGGGGGGCGATGAGGGAAACCTGGGGGTAAAGCAAGGACTCTAGGAAGTAGCCTTTCATTTCAGAAAGAAATTACCTTCGGAAAGAAGGTAGATATTCAGAAAAACTGCCTAAATGAATGCATGCAAGCTGTCCCACCCACAGTCCCCCAAATTTTGTGGCCTGAATATTTGGAGAGGACTCCAAGAAGGGAGTGAATTGAAAAATGTGGCTTCTTTGGCTCACGATGTCTCTTTGTTCAGGCAAGCAGAGCAGGTAAGATACTCAGGACAGGAGAGGTTCTTCCTGAGACCGAGCCCCTCAGCAGACATCTGAGAAGCTGCCAGGTCCATGCTCTGTGTGGTAGGTTCCAGAGACATGACCTGGAGTTGGGCGCCCAGAGTCCATGGAAGGGGGCCCAGGCAGTGGCCAGCCAGGAGAGGTGGCGTGTCAGGCGGCAGGCAGAGCCTGGCGTTGCACTTGTCTGGTTAGATGTTGCCCTGACCATCTGCGGAGCTCTGCCTGCTCATCTGCCTGCTCTGTCTGAGGAGCAGTATGTGGTGGGCTGTGGGAAAGGGGCCAGCATGGGAGTGCAGGAAGGCTCGCAGAGTGTATGTGGGCATAAAACAAGGACCATAGAATGTCAATATTTGCAACAGGCTAGAGAATACACCTGGTTTTCCCTCATTTTTATTTTATCCATCATATTGACCAAAGACTGTTGCTTAGTGAGGTCGCATTCCTTGGAGCAAGCACCTTAAGCCTGGCATCCTTTGCTAAATCCTGCAGGCAGCTGGGGTAGCCTTTCCACATGGTCTCCCTCTGCCGTTCACAGATCCTTCCAGCACCATCCCCACGGCCACTCCGGCTACCGGTGAGCTCGTCATGGGATCCTTTGGAGCATTATCACCAGCGGCCAACAGACGGACCTCAGGAACAGCTCAGACTATAGAAAGCCAGGGGACAGGATGGGACAGAGTTGCTCTGACTCCAGGGACCAACAAAACAACAGCGTCAGCTGAGGGAAGGCAGACTCCAGGAACAACCGAGGCAGTAGCTCTAGGGACGGCCAGCCAGGTAGAGGGTTCTGTCTGGGCAACAGTCCCCACTCCAGAGAGTCCGGCTTCAACAACTGGAGGCGTGTCCAGTACAACAGAAGGTGTCTGGGTGTGGGACACCAGAGGCTCAGTAGCGAATAGGGCGAGGCCCCGCGAGGAAGGGAGGGAGACAACTACGGAGGCCGATGGGCCACCTGAAGAAACAGAGGGGGTCAGAACAGCTCTGGATGTCACTGGGAAGGTCATAGGGACCAGTGGGCCATCAACTCTGGTCTCAGAAAAATGGGTGCAGAAAATCCTGCAAGAAGCGACAACTGTTTCTAAGCCACAAGACCTGGGCTCCGCTGAAGGAACTACCACAGCTGCAGGTGTGTGGACCCTGGGGCCCACCAGCATAGAGATGGCGTCTGAGGAGGGAGCCACCGAAGGGGACCTAGACATGCCTGCTGGCGACAGCGATCCCCAAGCCACACAGAGCCAGGCCCCAGCTGCTGGGTCCGTGAGGCTCTTGGGCAAGGGGTCCTCCATGATGAGGTAAACTCCCAGACCTTCGTCTTGGCTGGGGCTCCATATCTGCCCCATTCCCGGCATGCTCCTCCGTGGGCTGACCACTGTACCCCACTCCATCTGCTCACTTCTCTCTTTATAACCCCACGACAGCGAAGGGCAAGGACCATAAAAATCGCAGACCCTCCCTTGTTCCAGAGTCTTTGCTAAGAAACCCTGAGTATTTTCATGTGGTTTTCAAGTAAAAATCTAAACATTAGGAAAAGAGAATATTTAGGTGGAACCTTTGGGACTTTTTTTTTAAAAGATGAGGAACAAAAGCTCTAGAGAGGGAGAGGTACTTGCTGAAGACACAGGGGAAGATTGTGGCTGAGCCAAATGGCCAGGGTAGATTCCTTGACTCGCTCCGTCCTATTTCCCACTGTGCCATGCAGTGGGGCCCACACGCAGGAGGGACTGGGATTCAGGGCATGGGAACCTGAAGACAGGGTTCTGGTCCCAGCTCTGCTACTCACCTGCTGGGGGAATGAAGGCAGCCGACTTCCCTCACCTCAGTTTCTCACCTGTAAAGTGAGGGGTGAGGGCCAAATGCCCTTCAGTCTCCTGTCTGGCTCCAACCTTCCCTCCTCTGTGCTCTTCCCCCTCTCCCCCACCCCCCGACTCCTTCCTCTCCAGCGTTTCTCCAGGAGAGAAAAACATCTCTCGGATCCTGATTCTCGCCTCCACGGTGCTGTGCCCCCTTACACTTGTGGTTCTTGGCCTGTTGCAAAAGAAGCTCCCGAGAAACAAGATGAGTGAGTTGAGTTGAAGTAGCCCCAAGGCTGGGGAGGGAGTTTTCATTCCAATCGGACACCCTCAGGACTGGGTGGGGTCAGAGTTGGTGCCAGGACCTCTGGATATAGAAATGCTAAGTTCTAGTTGGAGCCATTTAACCACTCCTGGCCTTGGTTTATCAATGAAATGGGAGAATCATCTCTATTCTTATGCCTCGGTGACATCCCAGAGCTGAAGGAGAAGCTCTTCAGAGGATGGCAAGACAGATGCTAACTGTAGGCATGCGAACCACAGGAGCAATCCCAGACATGGATGGCAGGAGTGCTGGGACCAGATGTGGGGGCAAACTACACTTGCGCCCTCTGCATGGCCTGGCTGAAAGTGTCTTCCAGCCCAGGTTTAAATACTCGTAAAATGAGTGCTCCATGGTGGTTAGCTCTGATGAAGAGAGGGTGAGATTTGTGGGAGCAAGTGGAAGAGGCTAAGATGATCACCCCCAAGGCCTGGCCCAATCCTTTTCAATCGAAGGGCTCAATTGCAATTCTTCTGTGTCAGGAAGTTCCCAATGTCTTGTGGGGGTTGGGGGTTGGGGTCCTCAGGGAATCAAATTCAGTTCCCAGTCCCTTCACAGCATGCTCTGTGTCTGTGCAGCTCAGGAGGCAAAAAGAACAGCAGCGGTCACCTTGATTCAGATGACATATTTCCTGGAACTGAGTCTCCAGCCAGACCAGCTGCCCCACATGGAAAGGAATATGCTCCGGGATGACTGTCCTCCCCAGGCCAGTCTGACTGTCCCAGAGACACACCCTGGACCCCGAGAAATGGAAGCATAAGCTGCTCAGTCACCATGGAAAGAGAACCAGGACCAAACACCACAACTTCAACCTTTTCTCATCCTTCCTCCACCTGTACGAAGGGGAGCTAATGGAGCTGGGACTCCATCTGGGAAAGCAGAGGTTGGCCATCCTTGGGCCCAGGAAGGTCAAGCATTTCGCACAGCCAAAGGTGATGCATGACTCAAAGAAAGCTTCAAGAAAGGATTGATTGAACCCTGGTGGAGGTCACCTAGGAAAGTGTGGAATTTCCCTTCCTGGGGGTTTGAAAAGATAAGAGGCTTCCGATTACTATAACTTCTTAGCCATCATTCCTAGCCCTTGCTAGCTGCTCCCTTTTCTGAAGTCTGTTAGCACTCAGCCTGCTGCACACATTTCATCATATTCACGTATGCGAGGCTTGCCTTCTCAAGAACATTCTAAGCTCCTTTAGGGCAGTTATCACGTTGGATCCACCTCACTAAGTCCCCAGAGAATGTCCAACTCAGTGGGGCCCCCAGTAAATATTTGTGACCAAAAGGCTGACTGGAGGGCATGGGTTCAGTGGCCTCTGAGATGCTCTGAGTCCCCTTCACTTGGGAGTTCCCCTGGTTGACTCCGCCGGCAGGTGCTTTCTCCATAGAAACCAAAAAGAACAACCCCCATCCCTCAAATCATCTCTCCCCATTTGAGTCCACACGCATCATGCCATAGACCTTTTGACCCAGGCAAGATTTTCTGGGATTTTCCTAAACTCATGGATGAGGAGGGTATTTTTCAGTAGATTCTCACCTTCTTCATAAAGCTCCTCTTGTTCAACTGCTTATAAATCCTTGATATCAAGGACTGTTGATGAAGCTGGGAAATGGTCATTTTAAGGGGAGGGTGGTGTTAACAGACAAGGTGGCCAGAAGGAATTTTATGTGGATTCTGCTTTATAAACACTTCATTCCATGCCTATTGGGGAACTTTCACTCCACCCTTGGTCCCACTGTCTTTTCAGGGGTCACATCTGCTCTTTTATTTTGCCAAATCTGTTAACGAGCTGTCTGAACTTCATGTTTGGGCAAAGCAGCCTTTGAGCAATGGGAGAGAAAGAAAGGAAAGACTCCGATATCAAGTTGAGAATTGTCGGGTTGACATTTCCAGAAGGGTCAGCCCTGCCTCCTATGTAGTCAGCAACACTAGAACCCCTCCATTAATACCTCCTCACAGCTGGTGCTGAGCACAGACACTGTCCCCAGAAAATCATGGAGAGTTAGTGGTCAAGTTGGTGAGAGAGACCCCATTGTTTTGGATAAGTAGGGAAGTTGAATGGATCTAGCCAAATGGAATCATAGACTTTCAGAGCTAATAGATCTTTAGAGTCTAGGGTGAAGTAACTGAGGCCCTGTGGGGAGAAGTAATTTGGTTAAACCCAGTTAGTAGTAGAGTAAGGATCGGAAAAGGGAACTCCTAACCTTGATCTAGTGTTTCTCCACTTTGCCATTGCTAAATAATCAATGTATCAAGGCAAAACTAATAAAAAAATCAATGACACTGCGGTCATCTTGCTCCAGACCATTTTTGTGAACACTCTCTCAGTGACCAGCCTGAAAAGCCTGTAAGAGTGCTGGAGGAGGTAGGACAGCCACATTTCCCCATTCAACCAATGAGGAAGCAGACCCGGGGGTGGGGGTGGGGGGCGGCCCGGGTGTAATACAGCCAAGGTCACTTGGCCCATTAGATGCAGGGTCGGGCTGACAGCTCAGGCAGTAGAGGAGAATTCCACCTGACTAGTGTTTATGGGAGCATTCACAGAACGTGAGCTTCTCAAGATTGTTACGAGGTGTTCTGAGGGGGGGAAAAAAAGTTGCAGTAGATCAAACAAGTTTGGGAAATGCCAGTTAAACAGTAAACGGGTTCTTATGCATACAATTTTTTGGAGCCTTTGATACACTAAAGGGCATTGTGAATAACCCTGGGGTGTGGGGATATGAGCGTTTCCCTAGCGTTTTGGACTCTGGTGTCTTGGTGAAGCAATCTCACTGGCCTGGGTTCCTCAGATCGCTCTTTGTTGGGGAAAGCTGGAGGCACGAAAGCAGGGGCCTGCGAACCTTTTCTGGCAAGGGCCTGCTAGTAAATACTTGACTTTGTAGGACACATAGCCTCTGTCACAACTACACAGCTCTGCCATTGTAGCACCAAAGTGACCAAGACAATATGTAAACGAATGATGCTGGCTGTGAGCCAACACAATTTTATTTTACAGAAACAGGTGTCAGGCTGGATCTGGCTCTAGAGCCATGATTTGCCAATCCCTGAGCTGAGCCATAAAAGCACACAAGACTCTGATGTCAAGGATCAGATCCCGCTCTTCCTCATGAGTTTCCCTGCCTTCCCCTGCCTCCCCCGACTACCCCTCTCAGGGACCTCTCCTTCCTCCAAACTCCTATAACAATTTCTGCTTGGGGTTCAGCAAGGAGGATGCCCAGCCTGACGACCCCATCTTGGGGAAAGAGGCGGCCAGCCTGGTAAGGGTGTTGGCCAAGTGGCTGGAGGTAGGGTGACTTCCGGAAGTAGAACCGGCTGCCACGTCAGGGTGCATGAGGGGAAGCTGAGGTCTGCCAGGGGGAGGGGCCAGTACAAGTTCAAAGGGTCAGAGCAGAGTCAAGATTAGAGTCTCGGGGCCTACAGTTTGGAGCTGGGCAGAGATAATACCTGAGGGAAATTCTCACCTGGAAGGAAATGGGACGGCCCCAAATCTTTACAGCTCTCCTTTATGGGCTAACCGATGCCTGGAGTGGGGCAGAAGTCAAACAGACACTGCAAGCCAACTCCACCACTTGGGATGATTTGTTTTTCGTCTTCTATCCCCAGCTACCATGGTAGTCACAGCACTGGGACAAGGGGCAGGGAAAGATCCATCACCAGGCTGGAATCAGGGAAGTCTCCCTGGAGATTTCGAATGCAAGATGCAGGGAGCCCAGACTTTCCCATGATGGAGCAGGTCCTCCCCAAGAGGGCACAGCTCTTAATGCAGCTGCTCCTTGCTTTAGTATCTCTATGTAGCAGGCAATACATTGCATTTGATGCAACGCTCCTATAAGGCAGACGTGAGAATTCTCGCTTTCCAGACGCAAAAGCAGAGGTCAGAGAAATGAAGTAGTTAGACTCCTAGGGAAAGGGCAAGCGGAGAATTGAACACAAGCAGTCTACCTCCAACATTAAATCCTTGATCAGTACCCGGCGCTGCCTTCCTCCACACTTGGGTTTATGCCCCAGCATTTGATCAGGTCCTTTCTTATTTAACCTTTGAGAGCCTTCTTTGTTTTCCTCTTTGGGCCCATGCATAGGAGGTTTTATAATCATTTCCAGTAATTTGTTTTCTTTGGTCACCTAGCGAGCTGATTCCTATCTTGGCTAAGCAAAGTATACAAGTTCACGGAGCTGGAACGGAGAGCTAAAAAAACAGTCACTCCGTCGAGGTCCTTACTGGCATCATAGAGCTCAGATCTTTCATTCCCTGCGGGGATGTCCGTCCATCTCAGGTAACCCAGGGCAAAGGCTTGACCCCCACCCCCAGCAACTTGTCATTGTTCTCCACTAAGATTTTGGGGGTTTCTTCCTCTCCTCCAGCAGCAGGTGTGGTCTGGGAAATATAGAATCAGCTTAAACACAGCTTCAGTCAGACACAAAAATGAAGTTATTTCCACGGAACAATCTATAATGCACTTAAGGCAGGTAGACATGAATTGTGTGACTATTTTCCATGGGTACAGATACTCTATAAGAGCTTGACAAATGTTGAATGGAAATGGAGATTCTACACAAAAGACAACAGACCCTTTGGCAGGGTCCAGCACCACCAAGCTCTCCACTTCCCATTAAGGGATGCCACTTGGCTCGTGGGCTCTGACCTCCCCGGGCCAGCCTGCTCCCTTCACTGTCAGCAGGGGGACAAATTGTCACCACCCCCCACCTGCTCCCCAAAGGGTCAGCAGAAACCAGAAGGGCAGCAGAGAGGCAGGGGAGGACGCTATGTTATTGAACCCTTGTCAGAAAGATCTTTCCTATTTTTCTCTTCTCTTAACTAGAACAGGCTTATTCATGAACAATGGGGCACTAGGCCAGTAAACCACTATTTGTCCCCTGGTCCCATTTTGTTGAAGACACACATTCCCTCATTAGCATCCAGAGTCTTCTCTGTTCCGCCTTTTCCAACCTCTGGCTGAGTTCCCAACCTTTGCTTATTTGCCGACTTGGTCTAGATCTACCAGTTCTGCTCTGAGAGTAGAAGGTCAAAGAAGGGCCACTTCTTTCCCTAACGTTACAAATTCCTGACTCCCCCGAGTATCTTAGCTAAGAGGGGGGAGAGCCAGGACTACCATGACCAAAGACGCTTTCCACATTGCCCCGCAAGTGCAGATGTTGCGCTTGAGACAAGAGTTCAGGAAAAGGGCATCGGCGAGTTTTACTTCTGTAGAGCCTGGCATGGTAAAGGGCAGACGGGTTAGTGAATGCAACTGGCCTAAACTCTTCATTTTGCCAACACACGACTCCACCCGTGTCACGCAGACAACTAAAAATTAATTACGGTATATGTCACCAGAAAAAAAAGTGGATTGTACACCATTGCCCTGATGGGTATGTTGAGGCTCAGAGGGGCATGGGTTGCAGGGGATCACAGAGAATATTTTTCCAGTGGCCGTCTGACAGGCAAACCGTGGGCTGAAGGCCAGGCTCAGACCAGGAACAAGGAAACGGCATGTCTACAGATGGACCCCAGTGGCTTATGCGAAGGGGCTGGGCCCTGTTACCTGACACTCTGCCTATTGACTTTGGATGTGTGCTCTAAAAATCTTCCTTCTTCCGCCCCTCCCTGGCCAGAGTATGGAGGTAGGAGACGGCAAGAGAGTAGTTTGGTAACCTCAGAAAAGCCTGGTTCATTTGTTCTTGCCTCTCAGAATGAGAGAATAAAAGTCTCTGGGGCTCCTTGATTGGCCCCCCGAAATTGAGAGAACCTTTGGATCAAGGCCAAC